CTCAGGCAATCCACTCACCTCAGCCTCCAAAGGCGCGGGATTACAGGCTGAGCCACCGAGTCCGGCAATTGTTAAATTTTTTACTGGTAGTAAGTGGGAAGACATACCAGAGAAAAGCAGGCAAAACCAATTACCAGGAAGGAAGCAGGCTGCAACTACACATTGGAGCAGGGAGGAATGTGTGGCATTGATATGTGATCAATAAATACTCCCGTGCCCTGTTTTGACAGCAAATGGACAAATACAGCAGCCACAGCCTGAGAAGTGCATGACAGTCAGGGGCTCAAACTCGTCAAAGCCAGAGGTCTAAGTCACCCCACCATGTGTACCACCTAGACCATGAGTGGTGCTGGCAGAGGTCAAGAGGAAGCTAGGTTGGATGGTAGAAGAGGAAATGATGGGTGTGTCTGTATGCTGCTAACCTTTCTCTAAGAGTTTCCCACAGGAAAAGGTGCCCACCAGGGCCCTGAAGGTGCTGCTCTCAGAACTGAAGAGGAGCAAATGATCTGCCCGGCACCATGGACACTGTTGCAAATGCTGCACTGGGCTGTCCAGGTACCCCTTCAGGATTGAAGGACTACTCCCCAGCCACGAGGGTCGTAGGTCAACAGATCTCAGCTGTCAGCCCTCTTGAAGAATTGTCTTTGGTTGAAGAGAGCTACCTTCCCCAAGATCACACCCTGTTCCTGGGCAGCTAGCATCTAATGACTGGTCAGCACAGGAATATAAAGGCTGGGCTCCTGCACCCCAACTCAGAAAAACTCAGAGTGGCCATCCCAGCTTTAGAGCTCCCCCTGGGATCTGCCAAAGCCTTCCGGGACAGCGGCAAAGCCTAACTTCTCTCTCTCCCCATCCTACTTCCTTCCCTGCCCCCAGAGGAGCTTATCCTGAGAGCCTCACTAATAAACTTCCTGCACACCAATCGATAATCTCGTCTCCGAGCCAGCTCAAAGGAAACCAATCTGTGAGACAAACTGAGATCTGAGCCCCGGACGCAGCCACTATCCCTGGGACTTAGCTCTTTTGTCTTCTCTAACCCCAGAAACCCAAGGTACAAGTATGTGGTACACCCACCACACTTGGCTCACATGGTAAACTTGACCTCCAGGGAGTCAGTGTGTTCTTTATCCTGTCAGGCCAGATACTCCTTAAAGAGAAGGGTGATCACACAGTCCCTTCCACAGCTTTCTATGAGAGACCGTCTGGTTTCAGCCTCTTCTGGCCAAGACCTACCATTCATCATAATAAAGCATGCCATGTTCACGGCCCTTTAACAGCTGCAGAATGGCTATTTATGACTTCAGGCTGCCAGCATAGCTTCCTCCTAGAAGCCTTCTATGTTCTTCTGGGTCCCCAAGGATTTCTGCCATCAGGAGCTTCATGGCTTATCTCTGAAAAGTCCCAGCTGCTTTGCTTAGGGGTGGGTGAAAGGATAGGATACTTCTTTCACCGAGACAGAGCGACTCTCAGAGTCTGTTAGGTCAGATGGGAGAAAGAGGCCCAGAGAGCTGGTATGACTTTCCCAAGGTCAAGTCAGTAGCAGGGCAGCGACCAGAATATAGTTCTATGTTCTTTTTGTTCCACCACACCACCTCCCCAAAATCTTAGGGTTTGCCTCTACTAAAATCTAGACTGAGATATAGGAGAGAAGGAAACTGATTTATTCTGTAGAGCTCAGAGAATGGGGACTGAAACACCAAGTAAGTTGGAAGGCAAGAATAAGTAAGATGTGGGGCA